TCTGTTTAGAGAATTGAGAAACAGGAAATCAATAGCAGCGGCCACCCAGGCAGCCAAATAATGGAGGCTTTACAGTGGCACACAGAAAACGATGACTACACATTAATAAGGGGAATGGTGTTTGGGGGGGGAATGAAACATATGCTGTGGCCTGGCTGTGGAACAAGAAATAGACAGAGAGTGGGTGCAGCAAAAATATAGAATGCAATGCAAATATCTACATCCGTTCATTTTCTGTAACTGTTTATCCTGTTAGGGGTTGCGGGGGGGCTGGAGCCTATCCCAGCTGACACAGTTGAGAGGTGGGGTACACCCTGGACAGGTCGCCAGACTATTGCAGGGCTGACACATAGAGGCAGACAACATTTACACCTACGGGCAATTAAGAGTCACCAATCAACCTAACATGCATGTCTTAGGACTGTGTGAGGAAGCTGGAGTACCCAAAGAAAACCCACGCCGACACGGGGAGAACATGGAAGGTCGGCACAAAAGCAAGTCTTTGAACCAGGAACCCTCTTGCTGTGAGGCGACAATGCTAACCACCGCCTGCAAATATCTACACTTGAGCATAAATACACAAACTGATGATGGTTACTTAGTACAAGTAATTAAAACAGGACAATGTGCTAATACCCATATGGCTTTATCTTATAGTGATCTAATGTGAAATCTATTATGTGCAAGTTAGATCAGCAGAAAATGTTTCAAAGAACACATTCAAGGTTGGACAGAGAGCCCTCAAGATGTCAGCAACAAGTTTTCTGTAAAGTCTTGTACGATTTTAGTAAATTAGATTAATCTAGTGGGAGTTGTTTTGAATATGTTATTGACTCTAAGGACTGTTTAGCCTTCAGTTTCTGAACTGTGACAGAGTGTGCAAAGCAGGGAATTTTAATCCCAGGTAAATAAAGACTTAACGTATTATACATCTCCCTCTCTATACTAAACAGTTTGATTGCAAAACAGACACAAAATTAAAGCAGGAAATTGTACACACTGCCAATAACACTTAAGATTAATACAGCTTTGTGAAACTAAGCTCGTCATTTTGCACTTTGAATCCTAACACCTTATCTCCTTGTATCCTTCACAGGCCTCTCTCGCTGTAGTACAGACTTCCGAAATCATCAGAAAATCTTCATTAAAGTCTCACCCTTTCCACTGGTTTACCTCACTCTGTTGAAGTCATCCTGTAATTGACGAGAAGTGTGCAGTCAGCTTCCTCCTTAAAGGTCATATGGAGAAAAAAAATGTCCAATTGACAGTAACGGCTACACTGGGATTGGATCCTCCACCGTAGCTGCTAATTTCCTCTTAAACCTGACCAAATGTCAGCAGCACGCCTGTTTGAGGATCCTGCAGCATAGTGTCAGTTTGTGATGGTTAAAGATGGTGCAGATGGTATTGAATGGTGCTGTAGTTATTAGCTATGGTCTGAGAGGTGTCTCAGGGTATAGAGTTACACATTAAGAAAATATTAAAGAATAGATCTCAGCTCAGATGAGATATGTAATCTCTCCAGCTTGGTCTGCCCCGGGGCCTCCAACCAGTGGGATGTGCCTGGAACACCTCTAAGAGAAGGCGTCCAGGAGGATCCTGATCAGATGCTCAAACCACCTCAACTGACCCATTTTGACGCGAAGGAGCAGCAGCTCTCAGAGCTCCTTCCGGAAGACCAAGTTCCTTACCCTATCTCTAAGGCCGAGCCCAGCCACCCTTCTGAAGAAATTCATTTCTGCCGCTTGTATCTGTGATCTCATTCTTTCGGTCACTACCCAGAGCTCATGACTATAGGTGAGGATCGGGATGTAGATGGACCAGAAAATCAGAGGCGCCGCACTAAACCACTAATCCATCTCGCGCCCTTTTCTGCCCTCACTCGTGTACAAGACCCTGAGATACCTGAACTCCCTCGCTTGAGGCAGTAACTCTTCCCCAACCCGGAGAGGGCAATCCACTGGTCTCTGGCAGAGAACCATGGCCTCAGACTTGGAGGTGCTGACCCTAATCCCAACTGCTTCACACTCGGCTGCAAACTGCCCCAGTGCATGCTGGAGGTCATGGTGTGATGAAGCCAACCACATCATCTGCAAAAAGTAGAGATGCAATTCCGACACAAGACCCCCACAAAGGACACAGTCGTGAGCCTTCTCCAAGTCCATAAAGCACATGTAGACTGGACGGGCAAACTCCCACAACCCCTCTAGCAGCCTCGCAAGGGTAAAGAGCTGGTCCTCCCTGCTCCACGGCCAGGATGGAATCTGCATTGCTCCTCATGAATCCGAGGTTTGACAATCGGTCGGAGCCTCCGTTCCAGCACCCTGGAATAAACTTTACCTGGGAGGCTGAGCAGTGTGATACTCCGATAGTTGGAGCACACCCTCCGTTCCCCTTTTTTGAAAGTGGGAACCACCACCCCAGTCTATCACTCTGCAGGCACCGTACCCGACCTCCACATGACACTGAAAAGGTGTCAGCCAAAGACAGCCCAACAATGTCCAGAGCCTTCAGCTTCTCAGGGCCAAGCTCATCCACAACCAGCACCTTGCCACTGGGGAGCTTTTTGACTACCTCAGCAGTTCTGATATAAATGTTGTTTTCTTTATTCTCATTTATGTATTTATTTATGTTTTGGGAATGGGGTGTGACAGGGTCATTCTTCCAAAATTGGATTTGGACAGGATTTTTTTTTTTTTTTACAAACAAAAAGACAGGAGTTTTTCTTGTGAGAGTGGGATGGGACAGGAGTAAAAATCCACTCCCGTGTCACCCTCTAGTGTACATTGGGTTTATCAGACTGCCGGCTGCACCTGGACACAACGCTGATTAGAACAGTGAGAGTGAACCAACATAATGACAATACTTTCAAAGTAGCCTGGATCCCCACCAAAGATCGTTGGTTTTGGCATCATTTAAGCAGGAACTTGGATTCTAATATTGCCTTATAATTTCATGACTCATTGTCTCTGCAGCTGCTTTATAAGTGTAACTCCAAATGTGAAATAATATGCAGTCGTCTTGGATGATTTAAGTGAAATTTAACCAAAGGGATACAGCCTTTCACTCATACATTATATTCATTGCTATAATCATATATTAAGGACATTTGACGCACAGTATTATTTCATCTTTTACGCTGTGTTATGAAGATCTGACATCCGTTGGCCTTATCTGTGTCATTTCTTCTTATGATAAATGAGGAAGAAACATCATCTGTGCTTAAGTGGATGTAATGCATCCGATGTAATTACAGACAAGCTTTCACGCTGACAAGAGCTAAATAAATGTAATAAGACTAACAAGTGACTTTACCGTTACACGGGGTAACACCAGTGCTGCCTTGAAAATAGACTATGACGCATGACACAGTGAAACTGATCCGGTGATTAGCTGACTTACATATTGGACATTACCTTCTATCCGGTTTACCGTATATCTGAGATCATTCTTTCTCCAACATCTGATTAAAACTGGTGTCTTCTTTTTGAAGAAGGAACTAACACGTCGGTGCTTCCCCCACCAGTGTTGACTCACACTTGTACAGTAGAAAATAACAGTTTCAACAGTGGAGGCACAGATGGAGTTGCACGAGAGACAGTGTTTAACAAAGCAAAATCCCATGCAAGGATGGTGTAGATAACTGATGTTAGCCAATCAAGGCGGTAAGAATGGCAGGCTTCCTTGTTTGTCGAGCTGTAAGGAGATTACTTACCACCGGCCATAGTATCTTATCCCCCAAATCCCTCTCTAACACTAGGCAGCCTCAAGCAAATACAGCTCTCATGCTCCTCGTTGCCACCCAGTCCTGGCACTGTGCTTCCTCCTGTGTGTCAGGATATAATCAAGACAACATAAAACACAATAGAGAGCAGACACTGACAAACAAAACAAAGAGAGGGCTCTAAAAAGCCAGAGAGGGACTTAAAAGATTACAAGACACCCCAATGTATTCCAGCCAAATTCAAAAGATGAAAAGCAGGAAAATATGCACTCTTCATTAGAAATAACTGGGAGTCAGTGTTGGAATAAATATATCAGCATTTAACGAGTTAATATGTACTGTGCATCAACATATGGCATAATTTTGTACTAATAAGAGCATAAAAGGATCCCAGAATGGACCACTCAAAATGGAAGTTATCTATTTTTTAATCAAAATATATCCATCTATATACATCTTGGAGGTGTCCTGTGATTCCATTTGCATGTCAAATGACTCAGTGTGGGGTCCAACACCAGGACCGAGAAACTTTGACGGAAAAATCAACACAGGATGTAAAATGAGAATTACACAAGGACACACAGGGCAGGTTTTAAGAGATCTAAATGCTGTCTGTAACCCAGCAGGGTTGTTCAAAGTTTCAACCACCTTGACAAAGCAGAAACTTCTAATACAGCTACTTCACATTTAGGTGCTAACTTCCTTATTTTTGGCTCAGTTTGGGGCGAGGAGGAGGGTGAGAGATTACGCTCAGGCTGGCGGTCAGCCAGCTCCGACGTTTGAAGATGCCTTTTGATCATGGCTACATATGTTTTCTTTTTTTCCACAACATTAATTAGTGCAGCCGGCCCACAAGGCTCATCGCTGCCATCAGAAGCCTCTTTAGTTAAAATTCTCCATTAGTGGGCACACATGTTCACACGCGAGCACACACACACACTCAAACAGATTTGTTAAGTAAATGAGAGTAGCTTTATAGCAGCCCTCTGTGAGCAGTAAACAGACGTTTACATCACTATAAAAAATTGGAAGGATGTTAGGACATGGCAGGGAGCCAGCAACATGTTGCAAGAAGGCTTCGACTCTTAACCAACCTCGGCTCACACATGCTTCCATTACAAATAAACATTATGCAAAATGTGTGTATATGCTAATCCCAATCCCAAATTTCCTCTTGCAGAGTGCGACTGCAAAATCAAACCAGAGTGGAGGAAAAGAAAAGATAAAACAATCCTTCATCTTTCCATCCATCATGACAATAAGCACACTAGAGATGTTCACACTTTGTCTAATCCAGTTTATTCTTTCTCAGTAAAAGAAAAAGTTGGAAAGGTGAAGCATAAAGTAAAGCAATGGAAACAAAAATATAGAATTTTCCACGTTCATCTTCCCATTTTATAACCACATTACAACCAAAAAAAAAGCAGCTCTACACTAAAGTGTAAGTGAAAAGCAAAAAGGGGTTAAATAAGTTTTACAGAATATTCATTCATTATGCATTTTCTGTCCATTCCTTCCACAGTCCACCAGGAAAACGTTTGAAAAGTAATTATTTGCTGATTTTAACTTTCAGCACTCTGCTCACCCCAGCCGCCACCTCCCTCCTCCTCTACAGCAAGAAAGAGCGAGGGAGGGGAGAGACAAAGAGGGTGAAATAAGGAAAAACAGAGCAATCAATAAGGGGAAAGATGAGAAAAGCAAAGTGAAAGGCAGGAGGGAAACGCATGTGAGCTCATCATGCTAGCTGGAAATGAAAACATGGGTATTAAAGGAAGGAAGGAGATTAAAGTACTGAAAACCTTGCATCACATCACCTTTAAAATGTGGATAACTGAAATGAAGGCCAAAGACAAAAACCTGAACTGTAACAACTGTCACCCATCTCAAACAGGAACCTCTGAGTAACGTTCTTCTGCCATCTCAGCTTCAGTCCAAACTCAAATCATACCGCAATGTTTCGATCTTGCCTGCATGTGCTCAGTGTGAACAAAAGCTGAGCACATGAAACAACACAAAAGTGTGACAGAGAGTGTGCGCATTTGTAAAAGTACAGAGGTGTGAGGACGTGTACAATGCAGACATTTCAGGCAGAGTCATATATCGTACACTCACTTCCATGTACGTCATGTCCTGTAAATGTTGTCTTCCTGAAGTTTGTACACCAGCACGCGTAATCCACATGTTGCTATAAAACACACGTTTGGAGAGGACATGGTCTTCATGTCGTAGGGGCTGTGGGGAATAAGGAGATGACGACCGAGACGAAAAGAGGAAGACAGAGAAAATCTGCAACAAATTTAAGTCTTGATCAGTCACATTCCAGCGTTGGAGACAGATCCGTGTGCAATCCAAGGACAGCCAGCTCATTCACACAGCATAATGTGTTAAAGTCCGGCTCACACTGCAAGTTCTGAATTTGGACTTACAGTATCACCCCCCAGTTTCATTATAATGGCCTCCTGGACTGAGCCGAGACACCTTCGGAATAAAACAAAGGAGTAAAAAGGTGTCCTTTAGAGGAAGAGAGAAGGATGCGAGTCGGTGAGGGGAGCAGTGAAGATTGGGCTTTGATATCCTGATAACCTGAGGTGGGTGATTAACAGGTGTTTCTAAAAGTTTAGGATTAGGGGTAGTGGACGGCCAGGGGGTAAGACACTGACTTTAACTGAGGCTGGCTTGCTCGGTTTGCTTCACAAAGTCCATGCTTGGCGCAGAGTACAAAGCAGCTCTGTCTGATTTTGAGGTAAAGAGCACAGTCTACAAACAGCGCCAAAGCAGAAGTGTACACAAAGGGTAACCGTCCTGTTCTCCTCCTTCTCTTGGCATTCTTTGTTTTTGTTTTGTTTTTTTATTTTTTTGAGGTAAAGAGTATAGTCTTAAACTGGCTTCCAGGACAAACATTTGTATAAAGCATGTTATTTCTTCTCGTCTCCTCCTTAAATTCGTTCTTACTTCGCTCACACTTGTGTGGTCAGGAGCTCGCAAAAAAAGTGAAGAAACTCTATATTTCCTTTGCTCTTTATTGTTCTGTCATTCCTGGGTTTGGATTTTTCCAAAAGGCATCTTAGCAGCAGGGATATGATCAAGCCAACAGAAGCAGAAAGTAACCAAGATATGGGATTTAAAAAGAGCAAGTATAATTTAAAAGAAAAGTGGGTGAAGGTTTGTATCCAAAAAACCTGCAAAAGTCTTGAAAAACAAAACAAGAGGAAAAAAGAAAAAAAAAATCAAATCCCTGTTGGTGCTAAGACACCGTCTGAACACCGAGATTCTTCTGAGCCACCGGCACGCTCAGGAGCACTCTTCTCCGATGCGCTGGCATGAGCGGCCCACCTTGCGGTCGAGCTTTACCATCTTTAGGACGGCCTCCTGGCGGCCACGGCCCAGGTGGTCGAACAGACACTCGTGTTGCTCTGGGAGCCGGTGGAGCATACAGAAGACATAACCTGGAGGGTGGGGTGAAGGGTGGGGGTGCATGAGAGGGAGACCAACCTCAGCAAATGTACAGTACAGTTACAAATTACCGTGGCTGCACTTAAAACTCAGAACCTGAATTTAAAAGTTATGTAAACGCATGCATCTCTAAATAAAAGCCTATTATGTGAAAACATTTGAAACCACTATACTTTATACAAAAAGTAAAAAAGCAACACTGTAGATGCCAAAACAGGTTGAGATACACTCCCTTTTTAAATGGCTATGGGCAGATAAGATTTACTGCTCTGCGACCGTGTCTTTGTGAAACGTCTTGTTAGCAGAGAAGACATTCTAGTTGATAGCTTCCTCTTTTGACTCTATTCAACAAAGGCAGACAACCCTCATCTCTCTCACTGACTCTCTGTCTGTACTGTAGCACTCTCAACAAAAGGCCCTGCCACTGTAGGAGGCTCGTTAAGCTCAGAGAAGCTCGTTAGCTCTCATCGTCTTAAATTCATTCATTAATACACATAATAACACTGCTGGCATTCAATGAGCGGTGATTAAAGGCCCAGTTTGACAGCTGGTTGCTACGCAATTAAAACCTATGCGATTACAGCGCACACGAATGGAGTGGAAGGGAGAGTGTTTTGTAGCATTTGAGGTGAGGATGGGCTGTGAAACAATGTCCAAATCCAGGGGGGGGCAACAGTGGTAATCCACACTACTTTCTTAGTGTTATTAAAATAAAAAATAAAATGGCTTGATGACGTTGTACAAATTTAAAGCTCATTAAGATGCTTCATGCTACGTACAATAGCATGTACATATCACTCTATTTTACAGCAAAACAAACACAAACACAAATGATGATTACCTGAAGACATTCATTTTTAACTGCCTGAAAATGTGCGTATGTTACAATAGATGTCCATGACACCATTTGTCCCAAATTAAACTGCACCAACTCATTATAAGCAAGATATTTTGGACTCTTTTACCACACTACTTTTTAAAAGTTTGTTATAGAAAACCACAATTTTGTTATTCCCCCATTAAACACCCCGCAACAAAAAATGTTCCACCAAGCTCACTGCTGACGCTTTGAGCTGTGAATGGAGCTGAGATTTAAAACATCAATGAGCTGGGAGGACATTTTGTGATTTCAAAATGCATCTGGCCAATATCCATGTGTGTTCACTAAGTTTCAAGTTTTCAAAGTTTTTATTGCATAAAATCCAAACATTTATTTTACCTGAGGTAAAACTGAAAAAAAGGCTATTTCAGGAGAGTAGCTGAAACACACACACACTCAATCACACATTGTGCAGAAATCATTTACACATAACCACTTATTGTAGCAAAGACATTAATTAATAGGCTAATTATGTTATTAATTTTTTTCCCATCACTGCCACTGCACAACGTGCAACATGCTGGCAAGGCCAAATGGATTGCGGCCATTGTCACATTAAAAAGTACAGTGTGACTGGATGATTCGTTATTTTTACATACAAGAGCCAGATCTGTAACGAAGGTTACTGGTTAAATGTATTGTGGTATTTCTCTAATTTTAGGGACCACTGCTTGCAAAGTGAAACACAAGGAAAAGTGGCAGGCAGGAATAAATTCCTGCTTCTCTTTGATCTCAGAAGATAACCTGTATGATCTAATTAGCTTTTTAAGTTCCTGTGCCTTCACTCCATGCCACCCTAACACCTAGTCAGATGAATATTATAGTCACTGTGTAACAGCAGAAGCCTACTGAGTGTGACAACACTGGATCAGACACTCCGCTGGAGCTATATTTTCTCCCCCATTTACTATCTGAAAAGCGTTCATGCTTTCAACTCATTATCAGACCTTCTTGGCTTACACTGTGAAACATTCTGCAGAACCATTAGCAAAGTAATCTGCAATTACAGCAATAGTCAGAAATCACTATAATTGCCACCATTTCCCCTTCAGTCTGTAAAAAGCATGTTTTCATAGTAACCGTTGGACTATTAAGGATGGATGGCCCATGCATTAAGTAGCGCCTGGTGGGAAGAAACAGGCAAGTCAATTTCCAATTTAGAAATTATTGCGTGGGTTTAAGCAGATGGTCTTTAAGCAGTGAAGAGCTGTGACTTTTTAAGTACTTTAATTTGTATGCAAACAAGTTGATTAGCAAGCCAAGTATTGCTTTAAACTGCATTAGTGTTCGTGGTAATTGGCTTATGTTTTATGTGCAATGTGAAACATTCAGGCTTTCTGTAATGGTTCCCCCAAGGCTAGCAAAGGCACTCTGGTCATCGACATTTCCGTCAACACACAAACACATGCACAGGTAGTAGATGCATTTCACTGCGCTCGATGTAAAATTCGCAAAGCCATGACCAACTTCACCGACCCAACATGCATTTATGTATTAAGAAGGCCAATATCAATGATTCAGCAGTCATTTATCACCTCATGCGCATGCAAGACACACAGCTGAGGTCTTTAATAATAGTTACCATTACTTAAAGCTGGAGTGCAAAACTTTTGCCTCCTCTCTTTGGCAATAAGAGTATTTACACAAACACTGTCCACGTGTACATTAGACGTACAGTACAGGCCAAAAGTTTGGACACACCTTCTCATTCAATGCGTTTTCTTTATTTTCATGACTATTTACATTGTAGATTCTCACTGAAGGCATCAAAACTATGAATGAACACATGTGGAGTTATGTACTTAACAAAAAAAGGTGAAATAACTGAAAACATGTTTTATATTCTAGTTTCTTCAAAATAGCCACCCTTTGCTCTGATTACTGCTTTGCACACTTTTGGCATTCTCTCCATGAGCTTCAAGAGGTAGTCACCTGAAATGGTTTCCAACAGTCTTGAAGGAGTTCCCAGAGGTGTTTAGCACTTGTTGGCCCCTTTGCCTTCACTCTGCGGTCCAGCTCACCCCAAACCATCTCGATTGGGTTCAGGTCCGGTGACTGTGGAGGCCAGGTCATCTGCCGCAGCACTCCATCACTCTCCTTCTTGGTCAAATAGCCCTTACACAGCCTGGAGGTGTGTTTGGGGTCATTGTCCTGTTGAAAAATAAATGATCGTCCAACTAAATGCAAACCGGATGGGATGGCATGTCGCTGCAGGATGCTGTGGTAGCCATGCTGGTTCAGTGTGCCTTCAATTTTGAATAAATCCCCAACAGTGTCACCAGCAAAACACCCCCACACCATCACACCTCCTCCTCCATGCTTCACAGTGGGAACCAGGCATGTGGAATCCATCCGTTCACCTTTTCTGCGTCTCACAAAGACACGGCGGTTGGAACCAAAGATCTCAAATTTGGACTCATCAGACCAAAGCACAGATTTCCACTGGTCTAATGTCCATTCCTTGTGTTTCTTGGCCCAAACAAATCTCTTCTGCTTGTTGCCTCTCCTTAGCAGTGGTTTCCTAGCAGCTATTTGACCATGAAGGCCTGATTCGCGCAGTCTCCTCTTAGCAGTTGTTCTAGAGATGGGTCTGCTGCTAGAACTCTGTGTGGCATTCATCTGGTCTCTGATCTGAGCTGCTGTTAACTTGCGATTTCTGAGGCTGGTGACTCTGATGAACTTATCCTCAGAAGCAGAGGTGACTCTTGGTCTTCCTTTCCTGGGTCGGTCCTCATGTGTGCCAGTTTTGTTGTAGCGCTTGATGGTTTTTGCGACTCCACTTGGGGACACATTTAAAGTTTTTGCAATTTTCCGGACTGACTGACCTTCATTTCTTAAAGTAATGATGGCCACTCGTTTTTCTTTAGTTAGCTGATTGGTTCTTGCCATAATATGAATTTTAACAGTTGTCCAATAGGGCTGTCGGCTGTGTATTAACCTGACTTCTGCACAACACAACTGATGGTCCCAACCCCATTGATAAAGCAAGAAATTCCACTAATTAACCCTGATAAGGCACACCTGTGAAGTGGAAACCATTTCAGGTGACTACCTCTTGAAGCTCATGGAGAGAATGCCAAGAGTGTGCAAAGCAGTAATCAGAGCAAAGGGTGGCTATTTTGAAGAAACTAGAATATAAAACATGTTTTCAGTTATTTCACCTTTTTTTGTTAAGTACATAACTCCACATGTGTTCATTCATAGTTTTGATGCCTTCAGTGAGAATCTACAATGTAAATAGTCATGAAAATAAAGAAAACGCATTGAATGAGAAGGTGTGTCCAAACTTTTGGCCTGTACTGTATGCCTGCAGGTGAGCTTGCTGCTTTAATGTGCACGTTACTGTGTGTGAGTGGGCCTGTGCATGTACAGGTATCTGGTCATGGGTTAAAGCAGTGGTTCCCAACTGGTCCAGTCACAGGGTCCAGTTATTAGCTCAAGGTCCACACAGTTACATAGTCAGAGTCATACAATGACGCAATGCAGTCGAGCTAGTTTGCAGTCTCTGTTTAGTAGCTGTCCATTTTTCCTCTCACTCTACAGCAGGAAACGGCACTTCAAAATGAAAGCTCAGTTTGGGAAATTAACTGTACTTCTTTACAAACACTTCGGTCCATTCAGAATGGACCCACGACCCACCAGTTGGGAACCACTGGGTCATAGTTTGTGTTCCAGTGTATGTTTATGCGTGTAGAGTTGTGTTATCGTACCACAGCGACAGGAGCCCAGCTCTTGCTGTACCAGCTCCAGTTTGGTTTGGCAGCGATGGCAACGTTTGCGGCTCCGCTGTTTTGAGCCGCTGCGAGACGAGGATGATGATGAAGCAGACAAAGATGACGATGAAGACTCCTCACCCTCTGCCACCTCAGCCACTCGTGCTCGCTTCTCGGGTGAAACGTCGCTTTCTGACTCTGAGGCTGGAGACACGTATTAGCAAAGACAAAGAGAAAACAAGGCTGTCAGCTGTGCTCCAATCCCACAAATATTTTTTTTTTCTATTAAACATTTTTGTACTTTTAATAAAGGTAATAACATGTACAGTAGAAGTTTCTGGATGTACTGTTCATGCTGTACTGACTGAAAGTGTGGAGTCAAATGTAAAATGAATAGTAAAACTTTGACAGCTCAACAACAGGCCTCACACAACTTTAAACATGTTCTATTGGGTACAAACTTGTCTATAAAATGCAATAACACATCTTTATTCAATCTGTTTATACTCCACTGTTCAACTTGGGGTAATCTTCTGAATATGGTTTGAATTATTATGATTAAAAATATGTATCTTGGACCAAATGTCTGCACTCCTATATCTTAGCCAAAACTTTCATTCTACATTTCAAATATTGTCAGCAAAATAAAAAGTCTTTCTAGCATCATCATGTGTCAGCATTACAGAACCAAATAAGTATTAGGTAGCTATGAAGAGATCTGTTTTCTGCTGTGGACAGATACAAAAGCATTTTAAGGTTAATCGACCTTCAAGAAATGGATTTAAATAATTAATCTATCAATACACTTACAGCCAAACCTTCTCCACATTTTATAATCCCCCTACCCAGATAAGAATCCAAAAAGCATTAATCCCCTGTGTAACCAGGAGAGCTGCTTTGACTAGAATTTCAAGAGAAAACTTAGGGCATCCAATAATAAGCTCTACAACAACTTCTATTTAATATAAACGGGGGGGGGTAACAGATGATAGGATGCTGGAACAAAAACAGCTTTTTGCATTAAATAAAAAAGGTGCTTTGCAGATTAATGATTCTCCTGCATTAGATTACGTTTAACTCAGCACCTGGAGACAGGCAGAGCATGTAGCCAGATTCACTGTCCGGCTGGAATTTCAACTCAGCTTTTCTCATCAATCCTGCAGACTTTTTCCCCTGCCCCAGCCGAATGCTGATCAGCGCTCAATAAATCTCTGAGAACTAGGCCAAGCTGAGCACCCAGATCCCCCTAGCCTGGCTCATCGATCCCTATATGTGCGAGAGCATGCGTGTCTGTACATGTGCAAGTACATATTGTGTTTTTTTTTCTTTGAAAAATTGTGCCTTTTGTTATCCTGGTAAATCTCTGTGGCCAATTTACACTGGCTGAAATGTCAACAACTAGCAAGTTATTTATTTTTTCATGTAAAAAAAAAATAAAAAAAGATCTGAGACATTTAAACTAAGAACTGATTTAGGAGTATAATAGGTTGCACAAAAGCATATCCAGGCTTTACACTAAAACACATTTAGAGAAAGTAAAAAGTGAAACGTCAGCTCAGTCACAGCACAAGGTTTAAATGATGCTGCGTGTGCATGGGTGTGCTCACATGATCCCGCTGCATTAGACAAGGGATCAACATGTTCACACACCACTGCTGAGCCTTGCCTGCTCCGCAGTCGTCTTAAGTCATGTGTGAGATTTCACACGTGTGAGTGCAGCAGGTTGTGTCACCTCAGGGTGAAGGCACAACAGAGGGAAATCTACACTAGAAGGCAGTCTGCAGTCTTCTAAACCTCGTTAAATTTATTTCAATCATTGCTGCTAATGCTTCAGTATACACTGGCTCCTGCGTGCTCCATGTTTTAGCTCTGGAAAACGTGCATCATTGTGACCTGTTGTCTCTTAAATAATGCAGATTTGTTTCTTAAATTTGTAGATTTAAACACAGGACCTTCTGGTTATGATGATCTGCGTGACCTTTACAATTTTGAATCTTAATCCTTTGTCTGTTTTTATCATTCTGTGCAACTAATGCAAATGTATATACTTATTTGTAGCCAGTATTTGCACAAATAAGCACTTGATTGCCTTTACATTTGCACCCTTTTGCAGACACACTCTACTGCGTCCCCAATATCTTTCCCTCTGCTCTTTCCACTGGAAGAACAATTAACCTGGCTATTTTGGATCAATCCGGTGAAGTTGATGCTAATGGCTCCCCCACTTCAATAGTTTAAGTGGACATGACAAGCACACGGTGCAAAACACAATAACGGACATTGTAATGGTAGCGCTGAGGCTTACCTGACTCAAAGGAGCGTTTTGTGGGAGTGGAGAGTGAACTGAAGACTGTGTCTGTGCTGGATACTTCTGAAAGAGAGATACAGTGAGAAAAAAGGAAGAGAAAGAAAAAGATATAAAAAGAAAGTGGAAGAAAAGAGAGGACATAAGGACACTGGTTTCTTACTTGTAAGACTCTGTTGTAATTTCTCTAAGACAAGTGTAAAACAAAATAAAATGTCTTCTGGCTATATTGACAGAGAACAGACAAATAAATCATTCAACAATAAATCCCCTAAAAATAGACAATACAAATGCCAACGGTACAACAGTCCTGATATTCACACTCGCACACATATATTGATTGTGTCTTTGCAGTGGTGGCTCCGACACCATGGAACACACTTCTCACAGACATATGACCTGTGATCTCTGTTGCTAAAGACTGGCTTGTTCAAACTGGCCTTTGACTTGCCTCATCCTGTCTAGTGTTTGTAAATTTTATGTTTTATTGATATCTCTGCCAGATGTAAGCCTAGAGGGGATCATGCATTTGGTTGTGTGTGTGTGAGTGAGCGTATGTATGTGAGTATTTGTGAGTCTGCAGCTGATCTGGCATACTACTGGACCAATCATCCTAATATTTTGCACGCACATTAATGACTATATGCTCAAGGGCTTCTTGTGGTTGCAGTGATTCACAATTGTTGAACAACCTTTTTTAATGACTGTTTTATACCATCATCTCACCTATGTTAGCCGGCTGGTGGGGGCCACAAGTTTCCCATGAATCAGCTCAGCTAAAAGCACCAAGCCTTGCTTAGTCTGTTGCACACTACATTTTGGCCTCCAGCATGACTCAAAAACATCCATAGAAACGTTTGGTTTTGTTCTGAACCACAGAATCTGCAGATTAATTTGATACCTCACATGTTATGATCCTCTGAAGCGAGGCATGATAGGAGATCAATAAGTCAACCGTTTTTCTTATCTTCACCACCATCTTGACTGTAACGGAACCACCAAGTGCAGCTGTGCCGCATTCTGGCTGCCCGGTTGCTCTGTCCTTCGCACGGTATTCTCCACATGGCATCATACCATACCAAGGTATTTCAGAAGCAGAGCATTTTGCCTGTTTGACTTTGTTGATTTCTTGCATCTACCCTAAATGATTTCTTTTTTGTCTGTTTTAACTTTGTTTATTGTTGTTATCTCCTACACTGTTGTGCTGTAGCCTCCAGAAAAAGTTAATCCCCTTTAAATTCCAGTTATGAATGACATGGATCACAGATTTCTGACCGTGTTTTACTTATTAAGGATACATTCAATTTCATAAAAAAACATCATATCTATATTTCACATACTATAAGCAGGAGAATCCAATCTGCTCTGTAGAACTCGCTGCAATTCCATCAAAAATAGACGAAATAGGTATTTTTCTTAAGCTACTGGGACACTTCTGAAAGACGCTGCAGCGCATCTGCTGGAATTACAAGAATTGTCTAGAGTGGCTGTATTCAATCTGAATGGCCAAGCGGCCACCTGGCAGAGATCTGCACTCTACTGAATGCACTTTTCCAGTTTGTTTCTTTCAACTGTTTTTATGGTCTTGTTTTTAACAATTTTACTCCAGTGAAGCACTGTGTGACCTTGCTCTTTGAAAGAGGCTATATTAAATAAACTTTACTCACTTATACACCACACAAACACAAAGGTTAAATATGGAAGCCAAACAACCATGTAAAAAATTGTTAAACAGCAACTGATTGACAGATGAGGTCATGTGTTAGGCTGCCCTGAAAGGAACATAGTTTACAATCGGAACAGCCAGAGGACAGAAGCTGTTGGAGAGTCTTCTGGTGGTTGCCCGGATACTGCAGTACCAATTTCCACACGGTAGCAAGATAAAAAAGACTGTGACTGAGGTGTGTGGAATCCTTTATTATGTTGTGAGCTTTTTTTCTAAAGAGACTGTGATAGATGTCTGTGAAGGAGAGACAGCAGTCTGCGTGTGTGCAGAGTGAAAACAGTCACAAGACTGCTGACTGTAGGTATAGATATCATCCACCTGATCCAGATAATTTAAAACTTGGTCTTCAAATGGCTTGTTTTGTCCAACCAATAGTTAAAATCCCCAAGATCCCCTGTTTGCAGTAACATAACAAATATAAGAAGAAAATCCTTACAATTAAAAAGCAAGAACCACAGACCTGTTACCACTTTTGCTAGAAAAAATTCTTCAACAGTTAATCAATTATCAAAAAAGTTGCAGATTCTTCTTTTGTCAATCAACTAATCAAAATCGGTTATTTTTCACAGGTCTGGTAACATACTTTAGCATCAGTCTAAACTCAAATGTGTGACTTAAGTGGATTTTTAACTTGGTGATGAGTAAACATAAATGAATATGTTTGTCGGTCTGTGGGTGAACTACGAGCCAGTCCCATGAGCAACCTCTTTAAAAATCTAAAAGCCAGAAATAATCATGTCCTTACGCAAATCACCCACAAGCTCCAGATGTACCCGAGAACCAGGTGACTGTGGGCACGATGTTTCACAAGTTCCACACATCTGTTTGGTAGCCACTTCATTGTCCTGTCCTGGATCGGCCTCCACAAATAACCTTGTCACTGTATAGCAGTGACCGATGAACTGGCAATTGTAGGTGTCCTCTTAAAACCTTCACTTCTGAATGGATACCCTTTCCTATCATTCTCTTTATCTGTGCCATGAGGACAAATATAGCCAGAGCAGGGCACTGCAGCTGCTGCTGGTAGAAACTAGTAGCAGTCTTCTACAGAAAGATGCCCTGAACTAAAAGCTACAATACCCTGGTTGTGACCACTAAAATTTGAGCTTGTGTATCAAAACACACTTATAAATAAACAGACCATTAAGCACACAACGTCAATGTATATGAGTAGGTAGCATTGCAGACCATACAGACACATCCTTACAGAAACATTATGCAGCTTTTTATTTACCTTAAAATAACAACTTCGATATCATTGTGATGGTACACTGACTTGTAATAGTGAGAATTGCGCCTCTTTCATTTCCACTCCGCTTCCCAAACACCTGTTCTTGCACTATGTAACTTTACTAAGCAAGTAAGGTCTCTTGGGGAAAAGTACGTAACGCTTCATTGCATTAGCTAGCTTGGCCTTTTGGCACTGCTTACTGTTTTGTTTTCTCAATGCTTCATCTGTATGGGTGTCACTTTCTTTTTTTTTGATACTACGGATGCTGAGAGTTTGAAAGATTAAAAAATAGAAACAAGAAGAAGCTAGCTCTGTATTCTCAGTACAGACATCATAGCAGATGTGAAGAGACCAAAGTGGACGTTGATTTAGGAAGCAAATAAGAGAAGAGTCGTCTGTGCATTCCAAAATATACCATCGTATTTAGTATACCAGAAAAAGATTACATAGCATGTAAAATACATTATGCCAAAAACACCATGATGTCTTAATGCATCCAGGCGCATTTTGACAGCATCCTTTTTTGACTATTCTGACCCACAATCCTCTGCGCAGCGGAAGATGCGTCACATCGTCTGAGCCGCCAACAGATGACAGCTTGACAGCTTGTTGACAGCTCATTTTGACAGCTCTCAGAAGCCACAGTGACGGATGACAGCCAATCAAGTGACTGATGACCAGTGGTATAGAAAGTAATAATAAGAATAGGAATTGTTTAAGTGAACAAAATAATAATAGGGATTACCAAAAACAAAAGGATATAACTATGAAAATAACAATGGCAGAGAACACGGATATGTACTTTCAGTGTTGTGAATATATTATGGTAGAATCTACAATTTATGCAGTTATTACTTAAAAGGTAAAACTATATACATTGGAAGGTCACAACAGCAGAGTTCTTTGGGTTGACCTCTGTCTCTGGCAAGCTCGGTCAATGGCGTTTTATCTCCAAGGTAACAGATACATGAACAAAAGTTCAAGGCGCAATGTTATGACGAAGTAGTATGTCCTAATTGTATGTAACAGTACATATTTTGTTGGGGCAGTTGAAGTATGACCTGATAGTAAAAAGAAAAAGTATGCAATTGCAAAAGTAGGGATAGAGTGACCAAGCAAGAGGTAGTACAAAAGTAAACTAACACACCAAAACACCAATTCTTGCATATTGTTGCTTTAAGTGTGTTCCAGACCCCATAGGCTCAAAAACAGAGGCAGCAAAAATGTATCCTTCCAGCAGGTATAGCCTATGGCACTCATCCAAAATAATAAACCCATTATAGATAATAATACAACATTTTACTTGAAAAGAAAACCTAACAACATTCATCTCTTACTGATAAACTACTGTCTTACCGTCCTGAGCAGGTAGAGATGGCACTCCCGTCTCTCCTGGCGAAGGGTCCTCTGATGCGTTAGGCATCGACATCAGTGACTGACTGATGCTGCTGTTTGTTTCATTACAGAACATGTCTGCTTGGCTGCTGCTGGAGCTTGAGGAGGCCTTTGGGGCACAATCGTCGTCTGGCTGTTTCTTCTGGATGTCTACGAAAATAGTCAAATGGCAAAACAATTGTACACATCCATAAAACATGTTTGAATGCATCTACCAGCTTTGGGGTATGTAGTGGTTAATAACATGGGCAACAGGCCAGGCAAGTGTGGTATAGGGGGGAGCTCAGGCACATCTTTGTGTGATGCTCAATATCATTTAGAAATTCTGGTGCACTGACACAGTTTGCAACTTGCAACAGTCCCACACACAAATTGGGTGGAATTTGTGGCTGAGATGACAAAGAAATGCAGAAGTTAAAGTGTAAAGTATATATAAAATAAAAAGTTAACAACTGTCACGCTAAAAAATGGGCGAAAATTGGCGTTTCCACCCCTGTGTCTTTTTTCAATTACTGCCGAATGGAACAACTGTAACCTTTCCCACTTAACAAAAAAGCCAGATGTTAGTGGGTGTCCAGTGTTTAGTTTTTTGTCCAGTGGGAAAGGAGCTTCAGACCTTCTCCTTTCATCACTCAAGGTTTTTCCAGAACAGTTACAGAAGTGGAGACAGTTTTTGGACCCCTTTATTTGGCCCACACAGGTCTATGTCAGACACAAGATCAGTCGCCCAAACAAGCACACAGAAGAAAAAGAACTTACCTGCAAAACATTTCGAGCAGAGATTCATAGTTTTGCTCGACCTGAGGAAAAAAACAGAGAGCGAAAGCACATGTTAATCAAACGGTGTGTATCAGAGGTCCAAAAAATGCAGAGTGGGACGCAAACAAAATGTGCCTTTTGCTGGTGGGTATCCATGCAGCAAGAGCAACAACATGTTTCCATGATCCGAAGTCGAGGCCTAGGACTTGATTTCTCATTTAGGATCCCAGTAGGGAAAAATTCAAGATGAAGATTGTGATCCGTTACAGTATTAAATTATTCACTGCATCCAAAGCTGCAATGTATGAGGCTGTCAAGGTCTAAGTGGCACACGAGCTACCAGGCTACATCAACTTGAATGTGACTTTTGTTTAGATCCATTTCTGTGCATATTTCAACCCATGCATGAATATTAAATATAAAGACCTTGAGGAGACACAAAAAACTGTATGCTTAGTTCATAAAGTGAACGTCTAGGGAAAGCAAAAAATAAATATGCGTAATGAGTTTGTCACAATACAGAAAACTGTGTTATTAAGCATCCACCCAGATTTGAATAATTTAAAAAGGCACCAAGTGTATAAAATTACATTTCAAAATCATGAAAAAAGGCAGTATTCTCTGCTCTGAGACACTGAGGGCTTGTCCACTGAATGACACACCCACAGCCACGCCCACCTATGGAAAAGCTGCACCCTCTTTTAATTACAGCACTACAGTGTCCATCTAGTAGTTTTATTCATATTCAAAGCCAGAGGATGCTGACCTGCCAAAAAAATCAACAAAGTCTGCAACACAGTGATAATTTTTATTTATATTGTCAAACAACAACAAAACTCAACAGCTCTAGTTCTTAAAAAGTGTAGGGGCAGGGCTTATGCCAAAAAAAAAAACCTGGACGGTCTAACACTACAATTCCTTAATCTATAGTTCCCAGTCTTTTTATGTTTTTTTCAACTATGTTTTTCTAGCATATAAAGATTTTACTTTACTCCGACTTAAATGTTTTTGAACCATACCATGTCCCCCTGGTATCCAAATTGTACAGTTAACACCAACAGTAATTACAGATGTACAGAGGACATTTATATTCACTTCAAACTTTTTTTCAATATTAAAATTCAACATCAAGTGTCACTGTTCTAGCTAACAAGCTCACAAATGATGACTGTAAATGTAACTGTAAAGCATCAGGGAGTCATAATAAACTAGCTGTCCGGCAGGTAAAGAAAGTCTCGCAGAAAGTTAATATAGCTTTAAAATGAGCTGAACTGAAGTCAAGTGCTGTTGTTAATTTTACCTACAGTATATCTGTAGTGGTGAAAATAAAACTCAATTAAATGTGTGTAGGATTTAGTGGCATATGGTGATGGGGTTACAGAACTTGAACTTCTCCTGTGTGTCTCCTAGGATAGCAAAGGCATGACGCACCCTACTCACCCTCTGATTGGCTAGTATCCCTTTCTTTTGTTGGTGGATTGGTTACATTTAAGGCAAGTGGAGTGAGACAGGTTAGGGTTAGGGTAAGAATGTCAGAGTAAGCCAATCAGAGGCAGAGTAAGGCAGAGTAGGGAGAGTCATGCCTTAGCTACCCTAGGAATCGCAAATTCGCGCTCTGTATCATTCTATGGTAACAAAAATACATTTCTTATTTTCAGGTGATTATAAACTAATGAAAACACAGTTATGGATATTGTATGCCATTTCTGCCAAGAGATGCCTCTAAATCCAACACACTGGACTTTTTAAAGATTACAGGTCATGATCAAGGTCAATGGTTAGTTGTATCTGACTAACAAACATTGATTCTGTAGTCATAACAATGTGCAGTGAGGTTGAAAATGTCAGTGTGGTGGAACAAGTTGGCTTTACAGTTGATTTCCCACAAAAATTTGAAGGCCTCTCTCACTGTGTTGGCAAAGTACACAGATATTACAACCAACTACTCAACTGGTCTGATGAAGGTGAGCAAAAGGCACTGATGGAGAAAACTACAAACCTCTATAATGTACCAACTACAAAAAGGTCTACACACACTTTATCCTTCCTATCGTGGAGAAAGATCTTTGATATAAAATTGCTGTTACAGAGTTGATCACTGAAGCCTCACTGATTTTAGTGGCACAACTCGATCACAACAGATGGCACTAGCTTTCCTCTGGGAGGGCTCCTCTCATTTCCTCTCCAGCCCTCGTCCTTACTGTCTGCGCATTGAGCGTGACGGTCGCTGCTATCAGTCACATTCTATTTATTTTTGGTGCTTCGTTGCGCACCTTTGTCCTCATTTCTAAATGTAGGGGTCAGCTGCGGCCAACCTGAGGGCTGTCTGTCAGTCTGCTGGTGTGTGGTCTTGGGTATAAAAGAGAGTAGAGGAAGCAAGAAATAAGGATAGAGAAACCTCATCATGAGGCATGTGCGGGGAGGAAGCCGATACCGGGTAAACAACAAGTCATATCCTGTTGTCAACCTTATAAATCAGAGGCAATCAAATCACAGATTAATTAAGGAACTAAAAGGGGTGAGAAAGGATGAGGGGAAAAACATGCAGGAAAAAAGCTGCAGCATGCTTGTTAGGCTGAGTGAAGTTTGAACAGAGCGCACACAATCAGTCTATCTCATAGCTGGCTCACTGCTGTTACTAATAAGACTATCTGATTGGAACCGACAGCAAGATGGGCTCCGTCGCCTTGGTGATGAAGCTGATGAGTGACACAGAGGAGCAAAGGGTTGGATGGGTGATAAATGTTTTGAGGGAATTAAGTTCAACTGAATATGACTGGTATGAGCAGTTACGTACAAAATAACTTCATACACAGATCGGAGTCTGTTAATACACAGTATTCACAGACATTATGTCACCCACGCACATGGCTGAATTAGTTATTAGACAATGGTATATCTATGGGGACTGAAAAAGTGACAGCAAAGGGCTCAGCTGTGTGTTATGTTACAGAGCGAGGACAGATTACACATTACAGTTCTACATTTGCACCTGGAACATGTCCAGTAGTTCTGCTTTGCTGATGGGCGCCTGAATAAAAGCTCTAAAGGCAGATGAAGCTTGTTCAACTTATCCATTAAGGATACGAAATGGCAACTTCTGTGTTAATCTAAAACATTTTTGCTATGAATAGCAATATAGGGCTAATTAATAAACTAATTCATAATGCAATTGCTTGACTAATCCAGCAATTCTCTATAGCCTTGGCAACCATAATCTTCATTACTTTCTACTGTTATACATCTTTTGTGCCAATATGAAATCATTAGGCTGGTGATGTACTAGTATGGATTTTAGAAATCAGTTTCTTTCTCATGGATCCCACACAGCATACCTCAAACAGGAAACATGATGTAAAGCATATTTTGGCAATATAACATACATTTAATATAAGATAACTCTTCTTTCAATATATTTAAATGTGTTAGACCATTGCCAGTAATATAGTTGCAATAATTAATTGATTTCTAGCCAACTATTAAATGAATCACTAACTAATCTGATCAGCAGTTAGATGGTGTGAGTAATTTTTTTAAGAAAAAATAGTCAAATTCTCTGATTCAAGCTTCTTTAATGTGAATATTTTCTGGTTTCTTCACTCCCTTTATTAGGGATGCACCAAACTGATATCGGGATCGAATATCGGCCCCAATATCATCAAAACAGATGGATAGGGTGTCAGAAAATGCAACCTATACCTGAGGCAATCCTTTCCCTTTAAATCTCTTGCGACTTGAGCTATGTCATACGTCATGGTGCAAAGGAGAGAATCTGCTGTGTGGAAGTATTTCACACTATTTCAGCTGCTGTTGCACGATTGTTTTGTTTTTAGTTTTTGATAAAATTAAATAGTTCATCATTGCACTAATCTGCTTCATCTTGTTTTGTTTTATCTTAGGAAAGAACTGTGTAGTCATCAATGCCTGATGCCTCTTAGTCTTTTTCTGTTCTACATGTAAAGGTATATAGCTTTTTAGGTCAACCATGGTATTGGATCGGTAAAGGTTATCGGCTGATACTCAAAGCCACAGCATCGGGATCGGTATAGAAACTGAGAAAGCTGGATCGGTGCATCTCTACCCTTTATGACAGTGAGTTTCTTTAGGACAAAACAAGACATTTGAGGACGCCATCTTGAGCTTCAGTAAACACTGATCAGCATTTATTTTAGTATTTTTACACATTTTACTAATTTACTAATCAAATAAAACATCAACAGATTAATCGACAATGAAAATAATCATTGGTTGCAGCCCTAGCTGGTAATGCTGTACTGTATGAATGAACAGGAATGCTTTATGGCAAAATTGAAGATCAAGTCACATTTGAACCTTTAAATTAATGTAACACTAAATGAATGCTCCACCAAAATCCCATTCGAGTAACTTAGCAGCTAACCATAGTAGCAACACACAGGAGCTAGGTCTTTAGCAAACAGGGCATTTGGACATGACAGTGATACAGTACTGTGTTTAATTTACTATGTTAAGAAAAGTACCAGTTAAGCCACTCTTGCCAACCTTGTCAAGGAGCTACACTGACACATGCATTAAACTAACAAAGACCAACACCAACAATCCACACCTGCAAGGAGAATGTAACAACTGATAACAAGAAACTTGCACAAGCAGACTGTAATAACTAGGCTTACATCTGATACCTTTGTGATTACTAAACCTAGATGTAGTTCAGGTTTAACCTATATGCAAATAAAAACTGTCATCTCCTATGCCAAAACAGGCAACCTAAACAAGGCATTCAACAATCTTGCTTTATGATGATACATTTTCAAAGCCACAGTCAGTATAGCTTGCCAAATTAGCTACAATCTAAGTTTCGAGAAGCATTCTGCAGCTTTTGATCATCATTAAGAGACACGGGAAGAATCTCTCTGAAGCCATGTTGAGAAAAAAGTGAACAAGAAGGGTAAATAAACATATCATTTCCCCTTCTTTATTTGTCTCCCCTGTCAGAGATCACTTTGAGACAATCAAGCCTTCTGCTCTCAGGGAGAAATAACAAAAGGAAGAACAAGCATTCATCTCTTGCTAAATGTCAGATGCAATTATGGTTTATAAGGCACAGAGCACCAATCACAGCCATACAAAGGTGCACCTGAACATCCCCCTTCAAGGAAGTTTGGGGCATAAAGAGACGTGTAGAAGTCAAAAAGTAAAAATGAGAAGTGTCCTGATGCTATAAAACAACCTGAAGGAACTTATATTTCAAATGTTGTCATACATCATGCTGACAAGTCTGGAGCATACCAAACAACTCACAGGTGATTCTAACCTATTTGCATTTTTTCCATCCCAAACCCAATGACATAATTTAATAGTCCTCCTGTCCTATGAGTGATCCAAGGACCCACACACTTTTCACAACAAAGCCTACAAGCAGGAGAATCTAATTCAGGGGACAAATTTCTTCAAGGGTCTGCCCTATTTCAAAGGTCCCTCCCAGTACCGCAGAGAAAATCAGCTTTTATCGTGCCCAAATTTGGAGGAAGCCATCAGTGCATACTTAGTGTAACCTCAATGTCGCACAATCCAATCTTCCCATCAACTAATAAAACCAGATATTATCCCAATACCATATTGTATAATAGGAATGTGTCCAGGTGCTGATTAATTACTAGTAAATTCATCACCTTGAAAGGAGCATGGACATGTTTCCAGGGACGTTACAGATAAACGGAAGTTATGGAGATATTAAAAGTACACTGTTTGGCAACTGTCCATCTTGTGGTTAAGTGAAAGATCACAACTTGCAGTGAACACTCTGATGTCTTTAAACTTCCCCCAGGTTTCCACTGTCAGTGTTGATCATAAACTTTGAAATATTGGACTTAATGTGTGGACAGGGGCTGCAGGACTGCATCGTTAATGTTGAAAGAGCAGGCTCAGCTTGACCTTCATATCCTCTGGTATCGATCATTCCCATTATTAGTTAGTCTGCTGATTATTTATTTGACTGATTGATTAATTGTTGGGTCTCAACGTCAGCAAATTCAGGGGAAAATGCCTATTACCTTATCAGAATGTTATTTTGTCAAACCCAAAGAGGAGTAAGAAAACCAGTAATGGTTTACATTTCAGTGAAATCAGTGGACCTTTGCAGTTTTGGCTCAAACTATTATTCAGTGTGAAATATTGTTGCCAATTAATTTCAACTAATTGATTAATTAACTAACTAACGCACATTTTGTGTTTTGCTGCTATAGATCACATAAATTCCTGCAGAGTGAAAAGCACCTCCAATTGACCTTTACCACATAGGTGAACCTGTTTGTCATCTTCAGTGGGGGAGGTCTATCTGATAATCAGGGTAGACTCATATTTAGGCAATACTGTGACTGACAGCTGTTCTGATTGTGAAATCATCTTTTACATTACAATGTCTTAACATCATCATCAATGTCAGTTACACATACTAAAACAACACTCAAAAATATGGTATGTAACACTAATTGTGCACTAGTGACTTGGTAAATGCTGGCAAAAAAATAAGTCAGCACCAGCAGACTGATATTACAGTGAGAGCAGCAATGAGAAAAAATGAAATAACCAGTGTCCATTCCACAGCTGTGATCTTCTGCCTAAAATGGGTTGAGTAATTGTGGATTTGCTCAAAAGAGTTGCTAAATTGGGGCAAATAATACTCACAGTGTTGTAACAGTCTGTTGTAAATGTGAAAGATGTTTGATGCATAAATAAAATATCTTGCAAACAACGAGATGCCATGGTTATGGTGCAGACACGGGCCCTGTTTACATGTTGTTTTAACATGCGTCTTGGGTGATCGGATCAAAAGTGGACAGCTCCAGTAAATGCGCCAAATGTGTCCTCAATGCGTCTTGAGTTCTAATTAGTGCTGCACGATTAATCTAATCGCAATCGCGATGTCAGGCTGTGCGATTACATAACCGCATAAAAGGCTGCAATTTGCAATTTAAAGGATAACTAAGGTATCTTTCAACCTGGGCCCTATTTCCCCATGTGTATGTGTGCGTATGATTCATAGGTACAACTCGTTTTAAAATTGGTTCAGTATTGAGGGAGGCGGATGCAGCCGGCAGCCGCGAAACGAGCTAAAACGGTAACGGGGGCAAATGCATCCCGTATAAGTTTGCGCATTAAAAGTGCTTTTTTTCGCCACTGACTGGTTCATACGCACACATACACATGGGGAAATAGGGCCTAGGTTGAAAAATACCGAAGTTATCCTTTAATGTAAATAAATGTTAACATGTGCGCCTGTGAACTTGACTACCTCTCCTGTAGTGTGGAGTTTGTTGACATCACGCCCACAAGCTATCCTGGTGTGTGCAGCACGTATGGTCAGGTGACCACCCGACGTGCAGCAGTGACCAACACAGACGCTGAAGAAGAGCATGAACACGACCATGAACAGGCTGAGTTGGTGGCGAAAAAAACATCTGTTACATGGCGATACTTTGGATTCAGGTACGGCGACGTTGAACAGAGAGACGTGCTGTGTAAGTGTAAAAGTTAAAGTCGCCACGTCCCGCGGCAACACGACCAATTTATATCAGCACTCGAGACAGCACAGAGAAATGTAGGAAGAATGCATGCGAGAGAAAGCCGATCCGTGTAACGTTAAAGACAAAGAGACAACTGAAAGCCGCCAGAGCTTCATAAAACAACGTCCAAGCACAGTTACGCAATCATAATAACAAATGAAAAATTGAGCAACTTTGCTCGGGTTCGGCCCACTTGACATGCTGCTGTGTTGTGCTATGGCATGCTGGAATTTGTCATTTACGTGACAACACCTGAACGTAACATACGCTCGCTCCGCTGTGTGTACAGTGCCATGCTGCGCTGCTGTGTAAGCAGCGTATTTGACTGTGCTCAGTCTGTTGATGGTTATTAACACACTGTCCATAAAATAACTATGTCAGGTCAGGTCAGTGCCCCCGATATAATGTAGAGGAAACACCGAATCAAGCAAGAAGACTAATGATACCATTTATGTATTATATTGTAATCGCAATCGCAATCACAAATCGCAATATTGTCCACTCAAATCACACATTTTTATAAAATCATGCAGCACTAGTTCTAATCGCTCAGACCAAATTTGGAGGAAGTCTGGGAGTGGCCATATTCTTCCAGCAGTGTGTACACTGATGTGTCCTGGGCCACACTGAAGAACCGCCTACTCAGCTGTCACCCTTGCTTATCCAACTCTCCACCAGATAAGCAAACTTTCTGTTGCTGCCATTACACAGGTTCGACGCAGCATTGAGAGGCCACTACAGTTAAACACCTGGCTGGTCTGCTAACACAGCAGCAACTGTTCAACAGTCCCAGCAAACTCAGATTGACACGGAAAGGTTAAACCATGATAACCACTAGGTAAAATTAGCTGTGCAATGCTAACATTTAGCCCTGTCACTGTGTGTGCAGGCGGACTCTCACCAACTGTCCCCGGCGCCAAGCTCACACTCCCGCAGCAGTAGTCCTCCAGTGATTGTGAATGAAATGATGTAGGCTACATGTTAATTTGCATATACTGTAGGGCAGGGAAGTGAGAGCCAATCACAAGTGGTCACTAAAGATACATATGGAGACACTTTCTAATGTCAGGTATGAACAGATGGACTTAAAGCTGTCCACTTGTGATCAGTTCACCCAAGATGCATGGTAACACCAGGTGTAAACAGGCTCACAGACATCATATTTATCAGGGCGTTCTTCAAAAATACTGTCCCTAGTAATGAGATCTGGTGATTGAAATTGCAATAGTTCTCATTTCAGATAATTTCTACGATTATCTGTGGTGAGCTGTCACCTCTAAACAAATCACTTCTTAAAATATAAAAACTGTGAATTCAGTACTTGAGTGCAAACTGGGCGAACTCCCATAGCTTATATGAATATAAGTGGGGAAATAAATAAACAATTCCACTCCTATTTGGCTGGGTGCCACATTGTTTCCAATCCTTTCTAATTGAGCTGACAATCATAGACTGTAAACCACAAAAACAAGACAATAACTCACTGAAGTCAATCAAATTGTGTCTCCAGCATGTACAAAAATAGTAGGACAAGCCCCTTCTGAAGTGGCATCTCTGTACCAAATGTGGCTCACAATAACCTTTACCAAAATGCAAATAGTAAGCTAAGTGTAAAAGCACCATGGTGTATTTATAACTTTACATTTGTAATACTTTATATATGTCGTTTAAGGTCATGTTTACCACTGCAGATGTGCTCTATGGGCTTGTATATTTCAGTAGACTAAAATGGCATGATTGGTGACAGAAGCATGTGCCTGACACTTAAAAATCATGTCAAATGCATGTCAATATGTGTCACAAAACCTCACAGTATTTTGTGTTCATATTACTCTGTTGAAATATGGGTTAGTCTTTTAACACATATCCTGTTTTAGTGCTAATTTGAACTGATAAAACCATCAGTGCCTTGTTTCCACTCAGGTCCAGTTTATGGTTTAACAGCTGCCCTCTGTGTGCTATGTCTAACGGTAACCAACTGCTTCAGTTGTGAACTGCATACTTTCAAATTAGCCGTGTTATTAGCGCTGTCACACCTGTCACATTACCTGCAGGGCTTATTCCACAGCCCTGCCCTGCTCTCTGCCTCTACACGAGAAGGTTACCGAGGCCAGCTGGTGTCAGGCTAGCTGCTAATGCTACAAAACAATGGGGAGGGGGTAATAACAAGAAAAGCAGCTCATCCCTGTTTGAGCTGCTAACGCTAGTGGCTAGCGACTCTGCTAGCTGTTGGCAGAGAAAGAAAGCATTTGCAAGCAAGACATTTGAGAGGTTTTTCGCCTTACCCCCAGAAACCACAGGGGCAGCGCGGGGGTATAACGTTAACGTTACTCGGAGGTTTGCTGCCCTCGCTCCCCGTGTCCCCCATGTCGGTCTTCCGTGTGAGGCTCTCCGCGTAGCAGGTGAATCCGGGGATGGAGTGAGGGCCTCGTATTGGCGTTCAGATCCCCCTGGCTTTGACAAGTACACAGTCTATACCCCGGCCAGATTATCCTTCACAGGTTCACTAGGCGAGGAACGATTTGCCGACACGAGCGGCCACTGACTCCGTAAAATGAAAACCGTTTAAATAGACGTTGAAACATTGAAGCCGTCAACGGCAACGACGGGCAGAGCCACCGGGGAATCCTGGGCCGATCAGCTGGAGAGAGGAGCGAACCACTGCCAGAGAGGGGAGGCGTGTCGGCATCTGGACAGCCTAAAGTGAAATTGACTTGACAGAAAACGACAAAAAAACTCATTAGTTTTAATCATTTCAAATAATGCACGTGCTTAAATATCACTTGTACTCAGTAATTGGTTCATTTAAAAGCTTTGCTTTTGAGAAGTACCTCAGTTAACATGGTATGACCCATACAAAACTATCTTCCTACCAGCACTGCTTCCTACAACTAGAGCCCACAACACCGAGGTGGAGTATTGAGTGCTGTTAGCAGGCATATTTGAAGTTGAAAAAGATTTAATTTAGTCTGTATTTCCTTCACTTTCCATGGTAGTTTCTGCTTCTGTTTGACTGGTGACATATTTCAGTTGTAACATGCCACTCTTGTCATTGTGAATGGTGTTTTGAAACACACACGATTCTTTGAAAACTGTTTTTCTGCTTCCTGAAAGCAGAATTATACAAAAAACTATCTTATGCACCTATGCACTCCTACCTCCATGTTCTTTCTTCTTTTATGTACACTGATGAAATTTAAATAGTATCAAGTGGGCAAGAGGCTGAATATTATCCTTTGTTATTCCAAACACGGTATTTTTGATGTCAAAATAGAAAGTGTTAATAACAAAATTAATGATGGCTGAGTTCCATTCAAGTGCTTCAGTTTTAGTATTCTAGCTTGAATAGAACAAAGCGATTATTAATGTTAATAGTCACTATGACAAGTCAAATGTCTGCTGTGAAAAGAATATTGTGATGTATTTCACAGTGTGACTTTTCAGTGGAAAACAGGCTAGCTAAATGGCCCATTACACCTACACAAAACAGCATGTCTTCAAAAGGAACTACTTTAGCAAGTGATACATTAAATGGTCTTTTCACCTCAAATTACCTTTGCCTGAACTATAACAGACTGCTTAACCAGTCTTCATCCTTGTTGGCTTTAGGATCGGCCAATCGTTCAGGATGTCCTTCAGTCTGTTTATCTAAAATTTTGTTAAACTGGAAAGTGTGGAAAAATTTCTGCACACCTGAACAACGGCAGGTGCGTAAGAGGAAGGCGCCACCCCAAAATATATAAAAATTAAATATAAAATAAATATATAAATTAATTAATAATAATTAAATTAAAGAAGGCTCCCACACACTGTCTCACTCACTGCTGAATGGTTTATTGAGTGTCACACAACGTTTCAGTCTGGACGACCTTCATCAGGTATAACAGGTATATTATACGTTGTGTGACACTCAATAAACCATTAAGCAGTGAGTGAGACAGTGTGCGGGAGCCTTCTTTAATTTAAACCGGAAAGTGAAATAACCTCACAACCAGTGGATGCAGGCATAGCACTTCCTTTCATAGTCAACACATTGAACGCAAGCGACACGGGCGACACTTGAAATGCAATACATCGCTCACGCAATAGGGGGTAGCAGAGTCACCGGTACATTCCGGGTGTCATATGGGGTGATTTTCAGATCAAAATGGCCACTGAAGAGGAGTGCATTCTGATGCTACTTTTGAATCGGCTGCGGCAAAAAAATCACGCAAAATGTAAGGATAGGCGTAGAAGGTGGTATGTCCGTCCTCTGAATTGCATGAGGATGAGGAGATGAGGATGGCACTAGAACTGTCATATAAATGGGGGTGTGCCCATACAAGTTCACAAAGTTTTTCCTCCTCTCCCACCATATTTCATACCTGCTTCTTCTGTGAATAACAAAAAGTGGTTAATTTCCAGTACGTCGCTTGCATTATCACCCCCGCTGGCAATGCATGGTATTACACGTATCGCTGCATCAGGTATCAAAAAAATGGACAACATATTTTGAGAAGCAAGCATCATGGCGACCAATATGTCTCGATGCGTCCCAAAGCATTCATGTCTGTGTGCCTTTGCGTTGACTATGAAACAGCCCTAAAACTAATAATCACATCCCTCTCAGCCTCAGCTGTACTCAGCTGTACTGAGAATATTGCAGCCCACTTACATATAAAATGGCATGTGCTAAACATCAGCATGTGGCGACCATTAGGCCTTTCATGACTCATCAGGTAAAGGTGCAATTAATATTTTCAGAGGCAACATGTGAAAAATAGCCTCTTAGCTAACTTGGGCAGTTTTAAATCATGTGCATTTATAAATCTGCACTGCCCCTTCTCAGGTCAACTAAAATGATACAGAATTTTGGCTGAATTCAGTTGTGGTGCATGAGCTAGTGTCCCAGCCTGATGCATGCTGGCTCACAGTCACTATTATTTTCATACCTGTGCTTTTTCTGTTTTAACAAGTCAAAAGTCCTGCTGTTTGGTGTTATCATGCATGTTAACATGCTAACTGTGGTTGTGTTAACCTGCATGTTGATGTTAGTGCCAAAATAAAATCACCACAATAATGTGAATGTAAAATGGGTCTATATTTTTCAATCATTGCAGCTTGTAGGGGTGTTTGTGCAACACTTAATCCACATATAAGGTACGCACTGGACACATTTGTCTTGTGTATCTCCACAGTATCAATGGCTTCCAAATGGCTGTCAAAGGACTCTGATCCACTGTGATTATGAAACGTCAGTTTTGCAAAGAGTAGTTTACATATGTGTCACTAACAGTACATCTTGTTGGTCTTTAACTGGGGGAGAAATTAACCAAAACTAGGGAGTCAACAGGTTTGTGCTGCTTTATTCATTACTTGTAATGACTGAATAAATTATCAGTCAAGGCAGCATGGTGGTGCAGTGGTTAGCATTGTTGCTAACAGCAAGAGGGTTCCTGGTTCAATCTCAAGGTGGGGGCGTTCAAACACCTAGGTGGGGGAGCCCCTCTGTGCGGAAGTTTGCATGTTCTCCCTGTGTCAGGGTGGGTCTTCTCCGGGTACTCCGGCTTCCTCCCACAGTCCAAAGACATGCAGGTTAATTGGTGACTCTCAATTGCCCCTTAGGTGTGAACATGAGTGTGAATGGTTGTCTGTCTCTATGTGTCCCATTAGCGACCTGCCCAGGGTGTACCCCGCCTCTCGTCAAAGCTGGGATAGGCTCCAGCCCCCTTGCAACCCCTAACAGGATAAGCAGTTACAGAAATGAATGCATTACCAGTCAAAAGGTTTACATGTGAGATAAATCCTGAGCAATCATTTCACTCAACAAAACCTAAGATTGAATGTTTTGCTGACATCACAGGCAGTTACAGCTGTCTGGTTTCTGGCTTGGGAATGAGGTTGTTTCATGTTCACAAATATTGGTGGTGCTGTCTACGACAACAGAAATAGTGGATTCTGTTTTTCACCTCAAAATGACTTTCAGAAGAATGCAGCACTTTACTTTAGAGCCAGGAGGTTTGGATTCCCCTCAGCAAGACCTGCCAAGAAGTAGCTTCTGTCTGCAGGGAAGGACAAGTGGGCCCTGGGTGGAATGAAGATAGATAGCTGATAGTTCATTAGCTAGTTAGGCACAGGGAGGGGTATACCGCAGAGGATTGCAGAATCTCACTTTTCAGTGTTGCTAAGAGCCCATATTCCTGCGCAGGGCCAAACAATGCCTGCAAAGGTTTAGTTATTATTTGCCTCTCAGTCTCAATCAAGGCAAACTTTTCTTTGTTGACCTTTTGTCACCTTAAGACTTTGTATTTCTGATGGGATATATTGTTTCAAATAAACAGATAACAATGGTAAATCGGTGTAGAAAACATGGCCATGGTGAGCCCCGATTTTGGCCCCGCAGTGGAAAAGTGGTTGTTGCTTCTCTCCCCACAGCCTGAGTCCAGCCTCAGGCTTGGTTATCCTCTAGAGATTTGCAGAACACCACTTCAAAGACAGATCCCCTCTCCTTACATACCGTATACCCTCTCTCCCCTCCCCTGCTATAAACACAAGAACTTAAGGAATTAATTAGACACTGGATCAAACACGGGTTAGTAAATTCAGCTCGCTGAAGATACCAGGAATAGTGTAATCGCATGTTGAGTGTTGTATCCCTTGTCATGCGGGGGTATCTTTGATATGTATGTGAAAGCCTGCATTTCATTTCAGATCCAGCTTGACAGCTTTCACTGGCAGTCTCTTGACCCTTCTCTTATTCACTGAGGGATATGGTTAGGGATATTTTGCAGAGCTTTGCTCCTTACACTGAGGGACAGCACCACAGCTCTGTAAAAATGCAAAGAAAAAAAAAATACTTAATACAGCAGCCACTCCTTGAAGGCCTGTTCTTTAAAGAGAGATTCTGCCACAAGGACAGCTCCAAAATTCATTCTCCCATGGCTCACATCAAAGAAGCAGAAGTTCTGATAATCTGTAAAACATTACGTAATCCTGTTTGTGTGAAAGGTGAAAAGGTGGAGTAGTTTTGCAGGACATCATCAATCTCTATCCAAGGTGTTACTTTTTTCATCCATGTAACCAGTGTAATATCTTTCTTTATATGGACACTAACAAATCACAGCCTGCACTGCGCATGCCGATTATCCAGCTACACTCGCATCACTCCATGTGTCGATAAAGAGAGTTGATTCATGGCTGCTAATATGAGAGGCAGGTTCGCTACGACATGCTATAGATGGATTGTATGGGAAATCTATGTGAACACATTTGTCCATAAATGAGAGTCCTTCTTATCTTTTAATGCCATTCCCAGATAGGCAGGCTGGGTGTTATTGACTGGAGGACAAGCAACATGTCACAGCTTGTAGTTTTGCTCTGAGCGGGGGTGTATCAGAAAACAGGATTATCTAGTTTAGTCAGATCAATGTGAAAACAGCATATTGATTTGAATAAACAAGCTATTTAGACTTTGGATATTATTTATGATATTTACCACTGGTCAGTTTATAGGGACATTTAAACATCAAAAAATGCTGCTAGTTAAAAAAAATAACCTGGAGTGTATAACGGCTGATGAAGACCGCCTTAAATTATTATTCAAGTTCAGTTTCATGTCATTCCTCTTGCTGCATTTTTGCGAAACACTTAGCAATGCAGCGTAATATATTGCACT